TCCCCCGACTCCCTCGCGACCCCGTGCGATTTCCTGGCCCCCGCGCGCCGTTCTTCCCCACCGCGCAATCTTCTTTCCCCCCCCGACTTACTTCCTTTTTTTTTCTGAACTCCTTAATTAATTGCGACTAAACTCGATTAATTCACGACTGAATTAATCTTTTTTACTAGGAATTAATCACCCCTTTTCAAAATTATAAAATTTTACCCCGAACGTAAATCCGAATAAATTTCGTCCGAATTTATTTTTATCGGAACGAATTATTCTTTTTCTTCATTTGGAAATTCCTGAAAATTTTGCTTTCGTAGTTTCTTGAAAAATACACCCGCGAATCAGTTTCAAATAAATTCAAATTAATTTACACTCTATTCTTGTAAATAGGAATTGTCCCCCCCCATCTCCACATCCCACCACGCCAAACCAAGAACTCCCAACGCGCCGCAGCCGCCGCCGCCGCTGCTGCCGCGGCATCCTCCACATCCGTTCCGGCCGCGTCCTCCACCCCCTCTTCCCCCGACATGACCGCATCCTCCATCAACATGTCTGACATCCGGACCGACTCGGTCGATAGCATCGCCCACAACCTCACAGGCGAACAACCACCAACAAACACCACCACCCCCAACCTCTCCACCATCCTCCACGCACTCAACACCTTCCAAACCTCCGTCACCGCCTCTCTGGACGACATAAAGGCCACCATGTCATCCATATCTGACTGCGTCACCACGCTCGAAGGGGACAACCCCTCCATCACGATCGTCACCACAGCCACACCTCCCTCCTCCACAGCGCAAACCACTCCCTCCTCCACAGCCGCCTCCAACAACACCCCCCGCCGACCTCCTCCACTCCTACCACCTCTACCACCACATCCACCAACCCTTCAACCTCCACCACCGTTTCGTTCCCCCCACCTCCTCCCTCATCCAGTGCATCCGGCACACCGCCTCATTCCTCGCCCATCCACGTCACCCCTCTTCCCCCCCCGCACTCCCATACCCTTCGCCAACCCATCATGACGACCTCCACCATCCCCACCATCCGTCCCACCTATTCCCAAGTCACCTCTAGGGGTTACCCCGCAATGCCACAACTCCCCCCCAACTACCTCCTTGAGGACAACAACCAACTCGACTAAACCTGCTACAGCACCACCCCCGATAACCTCAACTTCAACACCCTCGCCCAGATCGTTTCCCGTGAAGGGGAAATGCCCCGTTCCTTCTGATCCGGCGAAATCATGTCCTTCTCTGCCCTCCCCCACGAGGACTTTTTCCTCTTCCTAACCCAGTTCCATAACTCTTTTCACCTCCGCCCCATGCCCCTTGCCCACTGGCTCCCCATTGCCACCTCCCGCCTCCTCCGCAATGCCACCAAATGGTGGATGGCTGAAGTCAGCAACTGTCGAGCCTCTGGAGGACCACGTCACTCCTTCCTTCAATGGGCCAACCTTCTCACTGCCAACTTTCGCACCCAGAAAACCATTGATGACTACCTTAAACAATTCTACCACCTCCGCCAGACCGGTCCCGCGGACCGCTTCGTCCAATATGTCCGCTCCCTCTGCCACCACCTCCCCACCACCGTCATTCCCGACTTTACGTTCATCTCCCGCATCAAACGAGTATGCCACAAAGACCTTGCAACCTCCCTCGCCCACGAACCCGACATGCCCCTTGCTGACCTCCTCTCTCGCATGCTTCACCACGATCGACTCCTCCACCCCCATCACCAATTCGCGCCCGCTCCCTCCCTCCCCCGCTTTCTCCATAGCGACACCACTCCACCCACCTCCGATGACGACTTCGACACTGCCTCTCTCGACCCCTCCCAATCCACCATTGAGGACCTCCAGACCGCCCACCTTATGCGGACGGAACGCCAGGATCGTGCCTCCCGACCGCCTTCTGCCTCTCCACCCCGTCATCTCCAAAAACTCACACCCGCAGAACGCATATACCTCCAGGAATGCAACGGGTGTTTTCGTTGCCGCCAGTTAGGTCATCAACAGACCAACTGCCCCAACGCTAGCCGCTTTACTCGACCGGCCCCTCGCTCCACGGGACCCAGCCCTTCTACTCCCACTTCTTCCTCCACCGCGACAGTCGGGCCCTCCCCCACCTGAATATTGTCCCCCTGTCTCTTGCAAGTTGCAATCCTCCCCAGGCATCGACCACTTGTCTGTCGGCTCTCCCATCAGTGACGATCTCTCCTCCACCGGTGACTCACTTGGCATCGACTATCCGTCTGCCTACCCCCCCTCCCGACGACGTTGGCTATCCCGTCGGTTGAGCATCCCACTGGCACCCACTCGTTTACTCTCAACCCTAAACCCCTGTATAAACCCTGCTACAACCTCGCAACCCCGCTCTACACACACCCTTGAACCCAGTCCACCCTCCCATTGACCCTGATTCCTGATGTCTGATCTGCCCTTGCCCTCGCCTAGCCTTGTCCCATCTGTCCTCTCCACTACCTTCGCGAAATAAATTTCGATTCCTGATTCCTGATTTCTGATGCCTGATTCCTGATTCCTGATTCCTGATGTCTGATCTTCAAAAAAAAATCGGAATAACGGGAATTTTCGTAGCGGGATGAAATCGAAACTTTTCAAAAAAAAATTCGGACTTCTCTGCCGCGAAATTTCGAATTTCAGAAAAAAATAAATAAATTCGAAATGACAGATTCAAAAAAAAAATTGCAAAATAAATTATGGGAAATCGCAGTATTTCAGATCTCCAGCAACGAAGTTTCGGGTTTCAAAAAAAAAAAAACGAACTTCCAGATGCTCCACTATTGTTACAAAAAAATAGCGGGAAAACGAAATCCAAAAAGGAGAAAAAAATTCGATTTCAGCAATCGCGATTTGGGGACTAATTAGTATAACCTAATCAATCAATCAATCAATCAATCAATCAATCAATAAATCGATCAATCAATACTCAATCAATCAATCAATCAATCAATCAACCCGGGATCAACCAATCGATCCAGGATCAACTAATCAATCAATGAATACTCACCCAATCAATCTTGGGTGGTCCCCGTGTACGCGTCAGATCAGGTTTCGTCCTGATTCACATACAGCAGCTCCGATACCAAAACTGACGCATGCTCAGGGAAGCAATGCGCAGTAGACCAAGGATCCGCAATGTGATGAAAAGGACTGAATGGACAATGCAAGATCAGCGCAGCATCAACAAGCAATGTACATTCCGATACATACAAGATGGCACAAAGTGGCGTAGCGGAAGATTTTAAAGAGAAGATCTGATCTGATCTGGACTGACCCGACATCCATCACTATCCCACATGAGGGAGAGAGGAGGGACCGCAATCATGGAAGAAAGGTCCCTCCTGCGTACACACACATGGGGAGAAACCACGGATGAGAGATGGGGGACAGACAGACGAAAGAGGGAGGTGGCGAGAGAGTACACCAAAGATCGCAATGGCGAAGTCCAAATAGTCTCTTGCCGAATGTCCAAACAATGTCTGTCCCAGAAATGTTGAATCAGATCCTGGGCAATGTGCCCGTTACAACCCCAGCCTGAATCCCCACTGATAACCTCTCACACTCTTAGATTCAAAGAAGACGAAGATGAGGAGGAGGAAGGAGGGGGAAGAGAGAGAGAGAGAGAGAGAGAGAGAGAGAGAGAGAGAGAGAGAGAGAGAGAGAGAGAGAGCCCTCCTCGCTGTCTCACCTGCAGGTAGCTGTCACGGAACTGACTTCGTTTGTTGTTGTGTGCAGGTACCGCGTGGAGCCCAGCTATGGCGCCAGGTAAGCTCGCTGACTGCAGGTATGGCCTCCGCCACTCTCCAATCTCCTCTAATCGCTACTCCCTACTCCTCTACCTAGCGCAGCATAGTGCAGCCTCCAACCAGCAGCATGTCGCTCAGAAGTGAGCGACTCCCACTGTCCTTGGCCCAGCCGCTGCCCAGCTATTTGTAGCGCTGGTCGGTCGGGCCTACCTGGTGCTGTGTGGCCTACAACGGCCCAGGTGGTCTGGGTCCCTACCGGACGTCCAGACCTTGCTGCTGCTGCAGTGTGGCGCAGAAATGCGCCTGGCCTAAAAACGGCCGTCTACCGGTGCACCTGGCCCAAGGTGCTGTCTTGGGTCCTGCAGGACCGAAACGACGCCGGNGAGAGAGAGAGAGAGAGAGAGAGAGAGAGAGAGAGAGATGGAGGAGGGAGAGAAGATGAAGCCCTCCTCGCTGTCTCACCTGCAGGTAGCTGTCACGGAACTGACTTCGTCCGTTGCTGTGTGCAGGTACCGCGTGGAGCCCAGCTATGGCGCCAGGTAAGCTCGCCGACTGTAGGTATGGCCTCCGCCACTCTCCTATCTCCTCTAATCGCTACTCCCTACTCCTCTACCTAGCGCAGCATAGCCCAGCCTCCAACCAACAGCATGTCGCTCAGAAGTGAGCGACTCCCACTGTCCCTGGCCCAGCCACTGCCCAACTATTTGTAGCACTTGGCCGCCGGGCCTACCTGGTGCTGTGTGGCCTACAACGGCCCAGGTGGTCTGGGTCCCTACCGGGACGTCCAGACCTTGCTGCTGCTGCAGCATGGCGCAGAAATGCGCCTGGCCTAAAAACGGCCGTCTACCGGTGCACCTGGCCCAAGGTGCTGTCTTGGGTCCTGCAGGACCGAAACGACGCCGGTTTGGCGCCAAAATGCGCCTGGCCTCGTTTCGGGCCTGCCTCCGGTGTACCCGGTCCCAAGGTCCGGCCTTGGGGCTGCACAAGTCCGAAACGGCACCTGAACAGACAAAAATAAGACAGCACACACACACAGAAAAAGGGGTAAGCAAACGAAAACCTACCTACCTACGTGCTGCCCAGGGCCTGGAGGGCCGCCGTGGGCCTTCAGCGCGCGTGCTGGATAGTACGTGGCCTGGGGGCCCCTCAGCAACCGTCGGGCCCCTCAAATGGGGCCCGTGTGCAGGCTCAGCATGCAACACCCCCCCCCTCCGTATGAAGTCAAGCCGGTTGGGGATGAAGCTGACGATCTGAAGGCGGTACTTGGACGCGTGTTCGTCATGGGGCTGAAGATGCCGGCTTGCCTTTCAACTTCTGTTCGTAACGTGCGAGAGCATCGGGCGCTGTTGCCTGAAGTTCTGCACGAGTCAGCCATCGGTCAGCTCTATGGGTGCAATATGCGAAGTGGACCAAAAATTCAGTCGGCCTGTTGCCGTAACGTCGCTGGGATATGATGTTGCCAACCTCTTGGAAACCGCCCATCGAGGGTGGGTCTTGCGATCGTCGCCCGGGGAAGTCGTCAAGTTCTGCTGGCGTGTAGAGGGCCAACTTGGAACAGTGAAAGACCGAGTTGACGGGCAAGTGGGTGGGCATGTGAATGATGAGCGAAGGTCCTTCGGGTGGGTCCCCAGCGGGTGCCACGATCGGCCAGGGCCCCATCCATTTCGGAAGGAGCTTGCGAGAGATATCTTGTTCAAGGCTGAATTCCGCAGCGGAAACCCATACGAGATCGCCGGCGCGGAATGGACAAGGAAGACGCTGGCGGTTGGCCTGTTGGCGCATACGTTGTTGCGTCTTTGCCATCTGGTCACGTGCCTTGACAAGAAGCTCTTGCATCCGACGAATGAAGAGGAGGTGGTCGTCGCCCTCGGCCGTCCGTGGAAGGATTGTGTCCAACGGAGAATTGACCGGCGATCCATGCTCGAACTCAAAGGGCGATATCACGATAGCCGAATGGATGGACGAGTTGTATGCCAACTCGACATCCGGCAGTCGCTCAACCCAATCTTTCTGGTCGGGATGGATGAGAGTTCGAAGGAGGACCTGTGCGGTCTGATGTGGTCTCTCCATTTGGCCATCGGTTTGGGGGTGGCGAGCCGAACTTGGCTTAAGGGATGAGCCCCATCGTTTGATGAGCGCCAACCAAAAATCAGACATGAACCGTGTCGCGGTCGCAGACAATCTCCTTGGGGTAACCCTTGGTTCGAATCCAACCGGCGTAGAGAACATGGCAAACTTGGTGCCTCGGCGTGATAACGGCAAGGCAAGAACATGGCAACTCCGGTGCCTTGGCATGATAGCGGCAAGGCAAGAACATGGCAAACTTGGTGAGGCGGTCAACCACCGTGAGAATCCCATCGACGCCCGTCTTGTGCTTGGGGAACGGCCCAGTGATATCCATGGCAATCGCTTCCCTTCGGCGCAAGGGGACTGGCAATGGTCACAGTTCCCCATAAGGACGACGATTGCGAGGTTTGCAACGTCGGCAAACTTCGCATGACTCGCAATAGCGCGTGATGTCGTCGAGGAGACCGGGCCACTAAAAGCGCTCGCGTAGTCGGCCAATTGTGCGATTGACTCCAAAGTGTCCGGTGGCGGGGGCGTCGTGGAACTCGCCAAGAAGCCGGGTGCGCAAATGTGAATCTTGCGGCACACAAAGAAGATCCTTCCCCCGCGAATGAAGAAGCAAGTGTGCCTCTTGGATCCGATAGTGCGAGGGCGCCGGATTGGGAGAGGAACAATTCGCGTACTTGTCGCGAAACTCGGGGTCAGCTTGATAGCCACGGTTGAAGCTGTCCCGCAAGTCGTCCTCGATCTCGAAGGTTGGGTAGACCGCAGTGCAGTGGTCTGGACGCCGCGAAAGGGCATCCGCAGAACGGTTCGACTTCCCCGGAATGTAATCGGGAAAGAAGTCGAATTGGTCGATGAAGGCCATCCAACGGGCGATGGTGCTGTTGACGGTGTCTTGAGACTTGTAAAAGACCAACGGATTGTTATCCGTTACCCATCGGAACTGGCGTCGACCGAGGAGGAAGTGCCGCCACCGCTTGAGTGCGTGGACGAAGGCGAGAAGTTCCTTCTTCCGTGCATCGTCGATGGAGTGCACGGGCGGCACTTTCTTGCTGAAGTATTCGACCGGGAGCCAGTCCACGCCGTCATGTTGCTCGAGGACGGCACCAATGCCATAGCCGGACGCATCCGTGGTGACGAGCGTTGGCAATAGCGGGTCGTATATCCGCAATACCTCCGTGAAAAGCAATGCGGCCTTGAGGGCCAAGAATGATTCCCGCGCGTTCGTCCCAAAGTCAAACGACCGGTCCTCGCATTGAAGTTTGGTTAAGTGGGCCACGATCTTCGAGTACCCCTTGATGAAACGTTGGTAGTAGCCGGCGAGGCCAAGGAATGATCGGACATCCGTAACGTTCCATGGCTCCGGCCAATCTTGGACGGCTTGAATCTTGTCCGACAACGGACTGGTGCCTTGTGGAGTGACGAAGTGGCCCAAGTATTCCAACTCTTGACGCACGAACTCGCACTTGTCGCGGTTGGCTTTGAACTTGGCGCGCCGGAGTGTCTCCAACACTCGTCGAAGATGGTCCAGATGTTCCTCCAAGGTCCGGCTGTAGACGAGGATGTCGTCCAAGTAGACCAGCACGAACTGGTCCAACATTGCTCGGAACTCGTTGGTCATCGCCGCTTGAAAAGTCGCCGGGGCGTTGGTGAGTCCAAAAGGCATAACAACCCACTCGAAGTGCCCGTACCGTGTCTTGAACGCGGTCTTGTAGCGATCTTGCGGCCGAATCGAGATCTGATGGTATCCCGACTTCAAATCCAGCTTAGAAAAGAATTTTGCGCCACCCAAGCGCTCCAGAAGGTCGTCAATACGAGGAAGAGGTCCCGCGTTCTTGACGGTTTGCGCATTGAGCTTGCGGTAATCGATGCATAGGCGAAGGTCCTTGTTCTTCTTCCGAACGAAGAGAACTGGCGCACCATAGGGTGAGCTACTAGGCCGGATCCAGCCTTTGTCCAACAAGTTGTCGAGCTGCGCGCGGAATACTGTAAGTTCCTCCTCGCTCATGCGATAAATGCATCCTTTCGGCGGCACGGCACCGGCCTCAAGAATGATCTCGTGTGAGATCGGCCGATCCGGCACCACGCCGGTAGGTGACTCGAAGATGTCGGCAAATTCGTCGAGCAACCGCACCACTCGGTGGTCTGAAGACAAGTCCGTAGGTTGAGAGTCGGCTACCGCGATGGTTCGAAGAAAAAGCCGATCTCTTCGGTCCGCTCGTAAGCGCAAGTGGCCCGGAAAGATTTGGCTGTTACAACTTGGCACCGGATCGAAGGGTGCGGAGGAGGAGTCGTACATGGTACTTCGGCGCCGAACGCGTTGCGAACCGTAAGTGTCCGCCGATGGAAGTTGACCGTGTGATCCGCACTTGCGAGCCAAGGCCTGCCCAAAATGATGTCGAACTTCGTGTCCAAGACGTCGAACGTCACCGGTTCGCATGCATGAGGTGCAAAATAAACCGGGACGGCTTCGATGTAGCGATCAAGGAGTTGTTGCGTTTGACCGTCCGCCAACTTGATCGTCGTAGGGTGTGCCTTCCTTCGAACTTGTGGTCCAAGGCCGGCCCTAATTGCGAGTCGCGCCGCTATCCAGCAAAGCGCTGCAGGACGCTTGCCCGATTTGGATGCGGACATAAAGGAGCGGTGCGTTGTTGTCGTCGTACCGCTGCGTGCGAAACTCGCGGGCCACCTTGCTCACGTACGCAAGAATGTCCCCCACCGCGACCTCGTCCTCCGTAGGCGAAGTTGGTGGTGCATAGCAGGCTAGGTATGTATGTAAATGAGCGCGAAGAGCTGCGCATTGCGGCTCCGGTAAGCAGCCGGTGGAAGGGAGAGGAAGCCATGCAAAATCCTCGGGCGTCAACGGGTCCAAGTCCTCAATGTTGAACGCGCGTGCCGAATCCCGTGAAGGTCCACTTGAAGACGAATCAATGCTGCTGCTTCCGATTGGAGAAGAGACCGCACATACATTCTGTCCTTGGGCTCGTGAATCCAGCGAAGGTACGAGCCGGGCAGCATAGTCCTCGAAGGAATGAAGAATTGGAGGACTTACGACGTCCACATGTGCCCCGGAACCGAGGGCGGTTACCCGATCGGCAACCGGTTCCGTAGGCGTCGAGAGTGTCGTCGCAACACTCTCGGCGGAGCTCACTTTCCCGATTGAGCGGGGCCCTTGGCTTTCGTGGGGCAGTTCGCGGTCTCATGGGCCGCGCAATTGCACCACAAACAATAACGGTACTTGGTGCGTACGCGATACCCGCGCTCCGTCAGGCCGTACGCTGTCCAAGGTCCTTGAGCGGGAGCTGCTTGCCCGGGCCCAGAAGAAGTATTGGTGTTGGTCTTCGGCTTGCCGCGTCCTCGTCCTTTGGCGGGTCGGCCACCATTCTGGGCAGCTGCGAGTCTGTCTCCCTCGTCAGACGAAACAGCCTCATTTGAAGTAGAAGGGTCGCTAGTCGTTGCCGCTGCGACCACGACCACTTTCGATCGATGCTGATGCGCGCCCTGGCCGGCATTTGACGAATGGCCCGTATTTCGGGCTGCCAAGTTCGTCACGATGATCTGCGCGGCCTTGTTGAAGAGTTCCTCACTTGTGGTGAGGGTCTCGGCGACATGAGTCAACGCATTCTGCAATGCTGGGCACGACCGCTTGATAAGGGAAACCTTGATGCCGTCAAAGTTCATCGGCAACTTGGGCGTGCTTGCCAGCCGTTGGAACTCAGAAATCCAGTCTCCGCTTGGCATGTTGTTCTGCGAAAACGTCAGCAGCTTGTCCATCGCCTGGTGCTCGGGCGGTTCTACTTGGAAACGCTTCTTCCACGCCGCCGTGAGCTCTACCCAAGTGATGTAGTTGTGCAACTCGGTGACTGTACATGCATGTGCGGACAGCATATTGTCCAACCATGCCTGACACGCGCCTCTCGAGCGGGAGTACAAATATGCATGCCGATTTGCGTCGATGGCGTGGTGGATGTCCAGCTTGAGTTCAAACTGGGGCCACCATTGGATGGGGTCGGTCTTCGATGCGTCACAGAAGATCGGGACCCCATCGAACTTGACAATCGTTTCGCGTGTCGTTGCGCTAGGGCCGGCCGCTGCAGAAACCTGCTGTTGCAGCTGCTGTGCCCCAGTCTTAAGTGTTCCCACGTCTATCTTCAAAACATGGACGCGGTCGGCGAGGTTGGAGGGGCCGACGTTGGTATTGGCGTTAGTGACCTGCTGCTCCAGCTGCTGAATGCGCTTGAGCATCCGGTCCGACGACTGTTGCAGCCCCTTATTAGCGTGGTCGAGGGAGTAAATGTCCTCCTGCTGCGCGATGCAAGTCGCGAGGAGGTCCGTGATACGGTTGAGCAGTTGAGATACTCTGCTCCCGACGTCAATGGGATCGTCGTTCTCGGCCTCCTTCTGCCAATCCTTGGCCTGTGCGTGTAATGCACTTTCCTCCCTGAATATGATCTCCCGTCGCCGTACGCGTTCCTCATCAGAGGCTGTGGCTGCTGCTGCCTCATGCTTCTGCCGCTGTTCTTCAGCCAGAAGACGTAGTCTCTCTGCCTCTGCTTCCTTCTTCTTCCGTGCTGCTGCCGCTGCGTCTGCCCGTTGCTTGGTTTCGGCCAGGATGGGCGCCAGCCGTGCCTCGTAGGCCTCGTCAGTCTCGCCTGCCTTCTGATCCATCGCTGCTGTCTGCGAGCGAGTAAGTATGGTCATGCGCGGTGGGTCCCTGACGTGGCCTGCTGAAGCGAGGATTTACCTGGCCTGCAACTGCAGGTAAATGGGCAGGAAGAAGGACGGAGAAGGGTTGAAGGGTTGGGGTGGAGAGAGGGGGGATGGGCAATCAAAATGGGTCGCCCAGATATGGAGCCACTAATCAAGAAAAAATTGGGAACTTGCAGTAATTTCGAAAAAAGAAAAAAAAAATCGAATTTGCAAGCTCGGTAGGCCCCCCAAGTATCCCCTCAGCAGTCAATAAAAAAAAATTCGACTCTTAGGCTGCCAATGAATCAAAAGAATAACTGGAGATAGCAGGAATGCTGAACTTGCGAAAACAGAAAAAATAACAATTTTCGCAGGTCCAGAAAATTCCGAGATAGAAAAAAATATTCGGAATATTGTAGGTGAGAGTATGCGTCGTTTGAAAACGAACGCTTGCAAGAGGAATTCCCGAAAATAAAAACGAATTTCAGAATTTTTTTTTGGAATTTTCGAAATTGAAAAACGAATTTTCAGAAAATTTTTTGGAAGTGAACAACGAATTTCAAAAAGTGAAACACGAATTTCAGAAATAATTTCGGAAATGAAAAACGAATTTCAGAAATAATTTCGGAAGTGAAAAACAAATTTCAGAAGTGAAAAACGAATTTCAGAAATAATTTCGAAAGTGAAAAACGAATTTAAGAAGTGAAAAAATAATTTCAGAAAAGTTTTCAAAATCGAAAAACGAATTTCAAAAAAGATTTTCCGAATTGAAAAACGAAGTTCAAAAAAGATTTTCGGAATTGAAAAACGAATTTCAGAAAAATTTCGGAATAACGGGAATTTTCGTAGCGGGATGAAATCGGAACTTTTCAAAAAAAATTCCGGACTTCTCTGCCGCGAAATTTGGAATTTCAGAAACAAAAAAAATAAATCGAAATGACAGATTCAAAAAACATTTCGCGAAATAAATAATGGGAAATCGCAGTATTTCGGATCTCCAGCAACGAAGTTTCGGGTTTCAAAAAAAGAAAAACGAACTTCCAGATGCTCCGCTATTGTCACAAAAAAATAGCGGGAAAACGAAATCCAAAAAGGAGAAAAAAAATCGATTTCAGCAGTTAGGTCAAAATTCGCGAATTGGGGACTAATTAGTACAACCTAATCAATCAATCAATCAATGAATCGATCAATCAATACTCAATCAATCAATCAATCAACCTGAGATCAACCAATCGATCCAGGATCAACTAATCAATCAATGAATACTCACCCAATGTTACATCTTCGACGCCACACAGGTCCTACCGGACCCGACATAGGGGTAGAGGGACACAGTAGGGCCAAAGGCCCGACCTTGGGGGGACTACAGGCCGTAAAGGCCTTACCTTGGACCAGACCCGACGGGCCGGCCCAAACGATGTTACCGTTTGGGCCTGGCGGCGCTCTTGAGGCTGCCGCCCGCCGGTTGGGGCTGAACCGTCCATCTGGATGGTTCAGGGCACGGTCAGGCCTCGCAGCATAGAGGCCGACCTCTGCCCACCGGTACAAAGGTACCGGTCCAGCCTCAGTGAGGGGATCGACCCACCGGTATTCTACGTGGTGCGGTAAGGTCGGCGCCAGAGCGCTGTTTGAGCGCTATTCTTAGCGCAGGAGGAAGGACAGCAGCAGCGCGAGCTAGCGCAGCGGCAGCAGCGAGCGAGGACAGCAGCAGCAGCACGGCGGCCATCGCCGCCYCAGCAGCAGCAGGGCAGGTACCAGGAGGCGAGGATCTCTTCCTCCCTCCACGGTCCCGTTCCCCTCCTCCTCACCTCTCTCTCTCTCTCTCTCTCTCTCTCTCTCTCTCTCTCTCTCTCTCTTCAGACTTCATCTTCTTCTTCTTCTTCTTCTTCTTCCTCTTCAGATTGGAGACTTATAGTAGTTGGACAGAGATCAGTATTGGACTTCGGTGGTATGAGACTGTGGTACTTACCGGATTGGAGACTTGGAGATTGTTGGGGTTGATACTCGGCTGCATCACAGTTCGGACACCGGTTACATTTGGACTCTGTACCTCCGACATTGGTGACCTATTGTCCTCGACATTTTGATCTTGTTGGATGACATTTTTGGACTACCATATCGGTGACCTGTCAGATTCTATCTCGGTGACCTTCGGTGCTGTCTACCTCCCCCACCTCCTTCGTCTCTCCTCCCACCTCTCATCTGTGTATGTGTGTACGAGGTCTGGGCATCGTCTATGCTTGGCCCAGACCCCACCATCTCACGATTGTATGTGTGTGGAGTGATTCTTGAGTCAGTCTGTGTGAGTCAGTCTATGAGAGTCAGCCCGTTTATCAGACTTCCGCTGCATATATGCTCATCCTATATTGGTTGATCTTTGGTTCTGCCCACACTCGTTGAAGTATGTAACAGTTTTGGTATCGGAGCAGACCATATTAACGGATCTGCTCACCAGGTAAGGCTGATGAGGACGTAGATTGTTGTTTCAATCATCCGAATCAGCTCTGAATTACTATCGAGTTCAAAGTTGCAAATTTTTTTCTTTTTCGGTATTCTACTTATTTCGGCATTGCCGTTTCAATTCGGTATTCGGACTTATAATCCGGATTTCTGTTCCTTCCGGTATGCTGTTTATTTGGGTTCCGATTGAGTAATACTAATCCGATAATTGATTAAGTTTCGGATTTCTGATTTTACACGTATTAGGGTTGAAGCAGTATCATGTTGAAATTCGGCTTTTCTGATTTCCATTCAGCATTCCGTTTTTCGGCATTCTGTTGTAAATCCTATATTCCATTTTCTTTTGGATTTCCGTTGTCTTTCAGTATTGGAAATTAGGGTTACGAAAATCTTTGGTTTTTAGATCAACTTGGGAAAATTTGAACGTTTTGGGACCGTAAATCCGGAAATTCCGCCGAAACGCGGAAAATTAGGGTTGGGACCGAAATTTTCGCGAAATTCTTTTTTCGTTCCCCTTGTTGGAGAAATTCCGAAAACGGGTTTAAGCCTTTAAAAATCGGATTTTGACAGTGGGAATCCCCAAAATTTCACGTTTTTGAAAATTCGAGTGTTTTTCCTTCTGAATTTTTCCGAAAATTTTTCGAGCAAACTAATCCGTATCTGACCCTCAAAACTGCAACTTCCGGGTAGTTCACTAATTAACGGTGAACTCCCGGACCAGCCTTGATCTCAACAGATACCTAATAAAAGGGCCTTTATACCTAATAAAAGGGCCTTTACCCGATATAGGCCTCAGGCCTTGTAAAAATAGAGCAGCACGGGCCTTGTAAAAGTAAAGCATTGTGAAAAGGTATCTTGCCAGGGCTCAGAAACGTGAAAACAGGTCAAAAGTCAAGTTCTTTATCAACAGGCACATCTAAATCTAAGGCAAAGGGCATTGTCAAAAGACTTACCTGTTCACCAGGAGATGTGTATGTCATGTCTGTTCGAGTAAGGGTGTGTCTGTACGTGTAGGCAGTGTACCTGTTCGTGCAATGGAACGTGCCTGTTCAATTAGTTCGTTTAGAGTTGTGCCTGTCCGAAAGTGAAGTCAGTAGGCACGGTCCCAGTTCTGGTCTAAGTCAAGGGGTCAGTCCAGATCCAGACTTTCAAGTCCAAATCCAGGCCGAAGTGCCTCAGCAGCAGTTGAATCTCATTGGGACTGTACTGGGACACATGCAATGCAGGGTCTGGGACAAAGGGAGAGGCTGAATTGAGCCAATGCAGACCCAGCGAGGAGTGGCCAGCACTATAAAAAGAG